TGTTTGAAACTACTGACAGTAATATTTGGTAGGTGTGATTGAGCTTGTTCTGAGTTCGATAATTCCTTGCTATGTGACATTCTACTGGGAAGTTAGTAAGGCTGTTATAGACACCGCCATTTGTGAGGATAACAAACAGTATGGTATCGCATTTGGTGATTGTGATGATGATGACAGTGATTCAGATGTGGAAGAACCAAGCATGTCTGCAATTCCTCTGGAACATATTCTGAGAGGTTCATACAAGGATCGAAGTGCGTCTGAATTGTATCCAAGATAAAGAGTAAAATTTTAATTTTTATGATAGGTGCATACCATTTCTACAATGAAAAGAACTTTGGGACTTTTTCAATTCAACAATGTTAGTAAATGAAGCAAAGGTGTTGAAAACATTTATTTTACCAGTCAATTATAGGTGAATAAGTGATAATTTAGGAAGCTGATGTTTCAGCCAATCACTTCCCTAATTTTATGTGAATTTTCACCTCAAAGGATTTTTAAAGTTTCTCTTGTGCCTCTCATTTCAAAAGCTTACATAAGTTTTAGATAACAATTTGTGACCAGTAGAGTCGTAGACAATTTGTTAGGTTTACCAATCAGCCAAGAAAATCTACAAAATTACAAACTTTTGGTTATTTTTTAACTTATATTGCTATTGATAATTGTATCTGATGAAAACAGGTTGCTGTGAGATCAAATATCTTTCAAAGAATATCACAAGAATTTGTATTAAATCATGGCTTGTTTTACTTCACAACACATCATCCCTAACTTGCTCAATATCTATAGTTATGATGCTGGGTCCAATCTTGAACTTCTAGCTGTCCCTCCTGTTAACCTGGTTCATGAAACATCAACTAGTACTAGTGCTGTCACTGTTGGCTCAAATTACGAACTAGTTGTTACTGTTGAAATGTCCAGATGGGATGAGCAGAGACCGCAGCAGCTCTCTGATATTGTAAGTTGTGCTGTAATGTATTCCCTGACATCATGTGACATTTATTTTTTTAGTTTGTATACTTAAGTGTCGTCAAGAAGTTGGGTTTAGCCCGTGGTCATTGTTATTGATTTGTATGACACTGTGATGCTCATGTTCTGGCATTTAATACATCTCAGATTTCACACTTAGTCTACTTTATGCTAAACACAGCCTCAAACAGTTTTAAATTAACAATTAATTGATTTAAAAGGCTTGTTTTTCCTTACAAAAAAAAAAAAAACCAAAATTTTCAAGGTCTTATCATCAAAACTCTTTTTCATTGATGAGAGTTGAGTGGGCTTGGTAGGGGAGGGGAGAGAAAGGGAACAGGAAGGGTATAGGGTATGGGAGAGGTAATATTTGGAAGTGGAAAGTTCAGGAGAGAAGTGTAAAATGTACCAAACTTTTGTTTATGTTTGATCTGAAGTGTTTAGCAGTCAAGGGCAGAAGTTGGGAGTCAAAGGTGCATGGTGTAAAAGAGCCAAGCACAGGAAGTGGGAAATGATAAAAATATGAAAACCGTCCTTCAAGGTTTAGTCTTGTTGTAGAAAGCCATGGCAGTATAAATTTTATCTTCATTCCAGGTTGCTGTTATTATGGCAGTGAATGTATCCTCCTCTCCCATTGGTAACCATGACTGTAATGTAGCATTGCAATGTGTTCAGACTGCAGAGGGGAAAATATATTGCATGAAGGCAAGTAGTGCTGGAAGAACTTCCTCCTTATTTTCTCTAAATTAAGATAATAACACCTTTTATACCTTAACAGCCAACAATAAAGCTCTCGTGTTTATAAAAACCCTGAGGAGACCAAAATAGTTGGTTTTACCTTGGACATCACTCACTCTCACATCTTTATGCATTACTTACATCACTTGATGCACAGGCATCCTAAGCTCAAGTCTCAAGCGAAAGCAAACAATTAATGCAAGAAAGTGGCATGTGCTATGTGATGTATTTTGGAATATTTAGCCTTGTAATAGATTATAGTTCTTTCCCAATACCATTCCTTATAATATGTTTACATTCTCATTGTTAATTGGTTCCTCGCATAACTTAACACTGCATCACACAGTGCATAATGCTGCCATGAATTAATTGTTTGCTTTTTCTCGAAACGTGAGCTTGGGATGCCTGTGCTTGATGAGATTTCGGCAGGACAAGTTCATGCATTGTCATTAGATCCTTGCTTCCACAGATAACTGGATCAATGGTTTGATGGATTGTTTGGTCAATGGGTAAATTGATGGAGGGATTGATGAGTTAACAGTAAAGCCAAGTATTTAATTTCCATCCCACGTAAAGAGATAACAAACTTAGTGGTCATTTCATTTTGGAATTTCCCTGCCCCTCTGGACTGATTCTCTTACTACTAAACCTTCTGGCTAAATTTCTTATTTGTCTTGCAGTAATTTTCAATCTTACCATAATCTCATGTACATTTTTTTTAACAAATTGTTTCGTGCAAACCAAATGACAAAAGCTGATAACAGGTTATGAGGATCACAGTGTGGCACTTTCTATCAGTTTGGATGGGTTTATCCTTTAACTTCCATTAGTGACCAAAAGAGGATTTCTCCTTACAATAACAATACAATATCAAGCAGACAAGTGATGAGATTAAAGAATTGTTGATCAAGAACCAAATTCTCAGAAAAAAACATCATAAGAATTGTATGGAAGACAGTAAGGAGAATTACTTGATGAGTTCCTGGGAGTAAAAGGGCTAAGATTATTCTTTTAGGGCTTAGTTCCAATGCTTATCCTGTAAAATTCTGGATGTGGCCTAAGGGGTTTTTTTACATTATTGAAATATTACTACTTTCCTCTTGATGATCCACAGAAACTATTTGTAGTGGACAGTGAAGACACTACAGAAGCTCAAATCTTGTCATCACATCAGAGTGCATCACCAGTCATATCACAGTCGTCATCATCATCAATACCTGAATCTGCAAATTTTTCTGCTGCATCTACAGACTTGCTCAATGCAGTGTGTGTTGTTTGCCGTGAACTGCCTGTGACCAGAGCCTTCCTACCTTGTAGACATGCATGCATATGTGGCTTATGTAGTCGTCATCTTCGGTATTGCCCTATGTGTAGGGAGTTCATCCAATCATATTTCAAGGTTCAAGATGAACCATTTATTGATCAGGGTGACTCTGATGCCAGCTCTGAACTAAAGAAATTGTCAGTTAGCGAAATTTTAAGAGGTGTTTTTACAGCAAGTTGATCCACCCACTAAAATAAAAATCAATGAACAGTTTTGTAAATAGGTAGTCTCAAGGAACTCAGTACAACTGTGTTGTATTGAGCCCTGTATTTGGTTTAGAAAAGATAACCATAAAAACTTGGAAAATTGTTTTAATTATGAAAATTAAACTATAAACGATGATTTTGAGTAACTTGCTGTGCTTTGACAATCTTAATCCCAGAGACTGGGCCAAGTGCAGTCATGCATGTTCCTTTTAAGGAAGTGTTTTTTGTAATAGTGTAGTTTGATTGTCCGGGTGGGTGTAGTCCTGAGAAGGACTGTTATCGGTAGTGGTGACTGATATTTTGACAACCTGAGCGGAGGTCATCATCAGAGTCAAGTGAAAGGTTGTTGTCAGTCGAATGTACTTAGTCCAGTTTGTGTACACTGATTGTACACTGTACTCTGATGATGACTTCCGCTCAGGTTGTCGAAATGTCAGTCACCACTACACCCACCCTGATGATCAAACTACACTTTTACATGTTACCCCTGGGTTCAAACCATTTACTGAAGTGTTTTTTCTTAGAAAAGGTGTGAGGGAACAAAGAAATGGTTGTGTTTAGGAAAGAAAGCCTGTGATTGTGACTTTGGGAAGGGAGAGTTAGCTATGGACCCTCCAGGAGGTGACTCTTTTTGTCCTGTTTCCAGGCTAGATTGGAATTTGGAATGTTGGATTATGTGGAGAGATTAAAATGATTCATGATCGGGTGAAATAGCTGAAACATTTCCCCATTTTTATTCAGTTCCCTCCACCAGACCCAGGTTCGTCCACCCTTTCACTCCCAGGATCTATTCTCCTAACCCTTTGTCACACAATTCTTATGATATTGGTTCAGAGAATTTAGTATTGGATCAACTAATAATCCCCTAATTGATACTTATCTTGATTCTCATCACTTGTCAGCTTGACATTGTATTCACTTGATATAGTAAGGAGAAATCCTCTCTTCAGTTGATCACTAATGGGAGTTAAAGGGGTTAGCCCAGACACACCACAAATGACTATGCCCAACTGTTCATTTAACAACATTTTATTGCAGTTGCTGCAAGGGAAAAAAACTACCTCTAAGTATGATATCACATTCATTTTCATGGTCTACTGTTCTTGACATTCTAACCTAACTCTGCTTACAACACTAAATTATTAACATACTCCAATCTTACAAACATTTTAGACAAACTGCCCTTGAACAAATCAGTGAGCACTCAACCTTTGTTTTAACAGTGATCATAAACACTACAACCCATAGGGTTAACAAGATTTCAACAAAGCTTAAAGAAAAATCAACATTGATGGAACAAATGTTGTCAACCTTTAAATAAGAAGAATGAGAACTGTTTTAACAACAACCATTGATTAAGATCACAGTCACCTGCTCTATACTTCTTTGAAAACAGGCAGAACATATTCAACAAAATACAGGATTTAAAATTGAACTGAATTCTCCTACAATCCTCAAAGGAGAAAAGGCTCTTGGGGGGTTTGAAATAAGTTCTTGAGAACAAGAAAATTTTTGTGCTTTACAAGCAATTTTGTGGAAAACACAACCTTCATTTCTTAAAAGAACTTCCTCAAAGAAAAGTATTTAACAGTCAATTGTCCTAAATTTATTTCTTGGTGCTTTGAACAATAAATGTCGCCTATAATTTGCTTACAAAGAGAATAAATGCACTTGTAAGAGAGATAAATACCATTTAAAAAATTATCAGTCAAACCTTAACCCCACGATGCTTATCCATTCAGTAAATTTAACAATAGCCATTTCCTCCAACAATGTTGATTTTCTTCAAGCAAATTTAATCTACTTTCAGAACATATGAGGAATGACAAGGGAAGCTAAAGACTTGCACAGCAAGTGATCAGCTTGTGCCACTCAATGAATTTTTCATCAGTACTAGCTGATGTTGTCCATCCTCAAAGGTCATGAAAATAACCTAACTCTTTTGTACTTTTTAAACCATTCTATAAATAAGATTGACATTAAATTGACAATGACAATGTTCGGCATTTCTTGCACACCTAGTAACAATGGACATTATTTTAGTTAAACTAGGAAAATAACACAATAATTATTAACGACATCTTAAAAAATACTTCCTACGGATTTCTTATGCTTTCAACAAGAAAGGTGCTCCAAAAGAAAGGTTTCCACCACTCATTAACAACATGAACAACAGTAAACAAGTTAAAGCAAGCTCTCATTTTTTTTAAGGAGAAAAAGTTCACCTTCACTGAAAACAAATGATAAATTTAACATTCAACTTGTTTGAATCAGTTACCTTGATTCTACAGTAAAGAGCTTCAAATAATTTTAGTGCCAAAAATGGTCAAACAGTTTTCATGTCTTGAACCATATCCCATTAAAAGTCATGGAATACAAGGTAACGAGTACAGTTGGGTCTATACATTCTTGATAACAGAATTCTATTCCCTTACAGGTGGCATATAATTCCTTTTATAGCACGCCTTCCTGAGTACCCAAAGCATTAATGGTTAACAGCACTTATAAATGTACTTCTATAATTCTGTTTGGTATTACATAGGTCTTACATTCAATAAACTGATACCTTATTCGAGTACTGAAGGACTGTGGAAGGAAATACATGCTATGTTTGTGAGGTATTTATGGTAATAGTATATGCAATATTCTTGGTCAATTTAATAATTATTTACTAAACCTTGTACTTTACTATGACCTGCACTTAGATACTATTACAAACTTTCATTGACAATGCCAGCATCAGGTTGTTTTTGTGTTTTTGTTTTTAAATCTTTCAAATGCCATGATATGAATTACTGTCACAGACTGTAGGATGAACAGATGTTTGAAGAGTTATATATTATTCTCACTTTAAAAGATATTTAATGAGCAATTCTGGTGTTATTTTAGTTGACACTTCCTGAGGATATATGTACATGACCACTATTCGGGGAAATAAAAGTGAAAATGAAATTTGTTGATTCAAATAAAATGATACAAGATCTGCACTCTTCTCCAATTGCGAAATACCCTTAACTTCATGGAATCTACCAGTTTTTCAAGAAAAGCCAATTGCTGTAAAACTACCAAATAATGTTTTCTTTTTGAAATAACAATTCCAGCCTGCACATAAAGTTTAATAGATCCAACAAATTCAAATTTAAAGATTGCCCAAACTTCAATTTGGATGCGAACAAATAATTTCAATGTTGTGGTCTTCTGCATGATGCAAAGAAATGCACTGTATCCATGGGAATTCCTCTTTGTACATAAACAGCCCAACATCAAACGTTCCCAATAAATGACATAGAAGTGACATGTAATTTAAAATGCTCAATGACAATTAGTTAAAATCATGATCACATATTTCTTAAGAACCAAAAAATTCCTGTCACAGTTATTTGCGTAAGCTTTCTATGAAAAAAAGAAAAAAAAAAAGGAAAAAAGTAAAACTTTTCTAGATAACCTGAAATAAAATTTATAAAAAAAGATGGCTCTATTAAAAGTGATTCAGTGGGTTTGCTACCAATTATATGAATAAATCATTTTAGGTTACCAAAATTTTTCCCAATTTAAAATGTGATAGAGAGAGTGATTGCTAGTCATTTGAAAATTGTCATGAAGCTAACAACATCAGAGTTTCTCAGAACAATATAATCATTGAGGACCCAACAGTAAAGATGAAACAAATTCAATTCCTAAAATTAATTACTTAACTTGATAGGGCAAATTAAACCCTACCCAAAAGTTTCTTGCAAATAGTTACTTAGACAAAAACAATATGTTTTATACTGCCTTCCTAATCTTTTAAAGTCAGCAGTTTATTTACAAACAAACATCTTTAGAAATAATTTTAGAAAACAAGTAGACATTCTGCAAAAATTTTACTGCCGCTTGTTTTTAAATAACACTCAAGCAAAAACAACACAGTGGTTTGAACTAACACAACATAAACAAGATATGGAAAAACAAAACACAAAAATTATGAAAAATAAACTTTTAGCAATTATCTACATGTCACAGTTGCTATCCAAAGTATGTACAAGTCTAACCAGAAAAAGAAAAAAAAATGAAAATGAGACCTCACTGCATACAAATAATACGGCATAAACCTAAATTTGTGGATTTTGAAAAAACAACAGACAAACAAAACCAGAAAATTGCTGAACATGATCAAACCAACCTCATGAGGTCAAATTTGCTTTTTCAGCAATTTCTGAAGCACAGTCAAAAGACACTACTACAAATTACATTCCTAAGATACCATGATTCAATGGTTTAAATACCAAGGACCAAGTTAACTGTAGTAATTACATAATATTCACAATTTTTAAGGCCATTCATTCCAGGATCCAGTTAAATGGCATGACACACAGCCTTATTAAACCTCTATGAGCTTTCAAACATTAAAGATGAAATAGGCATCGCTTATGATCGTAATTTTTTTGGCTGTATGCTGTTGTCCTCTGCTGTACTTGTGCTTTTTCGGAGGGATATTTTTCCCCAGTATCATTGAATAATAATGGCCTCTGTGTGCTCTTTTAAAGCAACTCGTTTGCTTACGTTACATCCTGTAGTCTGGTTACACATGTGCTATTTATAATTTACTGATGGGTCTGATGAATCTGAAAGAAAAAAAAAGAAATGTAAAAAAATTCCAATGACACTCCAGCTAAGAGGTAGGTGTTTCAATGAAAGCCAGTAAGCAGTGGGTTACCACTGCCTAAAAGCCTCTTGCTGAGATAGATAAACTTGAGAATTTCAAAACAAAGCTAAAATGCAACAGGACTCAGTTAACCCTTTAACTCCCAGAAGTGATTAACATGAAATTTCTCCCTAATATATCCATACATTATTTTGCAACAGGCAATGAGAATATTCAAACTTATCGGGTAGAAGCTGCTATCTTGATCCAGCATCAAGTTCTCATAACTAATTATTTACAAGGAAATGTTTAGCAGCTAGAGGAGAGAATTAACAATCAGATCTTGGGAGTTAAAGGGTTAAGAAAGTGACATTTGTTTCAGGAACCATTACTAATCTTAACAAAGATGTAGACAATTTCAATTATCATTAACTTATAAGTGGTATTTTAAAGTAATATGATTTTATTTACTCTGTAAACATCTTTTTTTTGTAATAGCTAGTTTCAATTAATAATCTTGTATATATTTTGTGTAAATATTTCTATACACATTTTCAATAGAAAGGTTCAATTAATGATTTTGTATATTTTTGTGAGAAAATTTCTGTAAACATTTTTTAATAGTTAGGTTTAATTTATAACTTTATATAGATAATAAATAGGTCCACGTGAGCTTTTTTAGCTGCCTTTTTTTTTTTTTTACCTACATTGACAAATTAAGTATGTACATATGCTGCTGACTGCCTAGCCTGTAAGCAAGTTCTCATGTCTAGGTTTCGCCTTGCAGCTTTTTCCCAGTCTGTTACACCATCAGTAGCCACTTATGGAAAAAGTTATGCTAGAGGCCTTTCCTGTTGAATCTTATTCTAGTCTCAGCAGCATGACGCATCAAGGTGTATAGACTGAATGCAAATAGGGAAGATGACTTTGTTGGCCTGAGAGACTTAAAAAACAAAACCTTCTCACTTGTGGAAGATTTTCCTTCCTTTTGTTGGCTTTCAGGAAGACAACAACGCATATGCATAGTGAAATATGACAGAACAGCCTAACACGACAGATGACTTTAAAGGAGCCACACTCTCATACTAAAACCCTAAGAACTATCTAGCCTTGCTTTCATGCAACACAACCCAAGCCAACCGAGTAGTCTGCCTTATTTGTATTCCACATATTGCTACTACCCCTGGAAGGAAAGCTGGTCCATCACAGCTTACCCCTGCTGTTTCATCCAGTTTCCCTGACAATTTGTCAGTACCCATTTATACTCTTGGCTAGAGAGAGGCACTGTAAGAGCTGTGTTTCTTGCTAGAGAACATAACACAATGACGCTGGTTTTGAACCCACATCTCTCCACCATGTTCCAGTGCACTATGCATTAGGCTAACATGTCTCTCAAGAGGTAAACAGAAAATTCTTCTCTATTTTCTTTGAAAAAAAGAAAAAACTCACCAGAAAGGGCATGTTCAGTAACACTGAGACAAAGGGACTCTAATCCATCATCAATGTTCTCAAGATCTGCAGAGACTAAAGAAAAAAAATACACAAGTCATTCACTTCCAAAACATGACACTTATTTCTTGAAAAATTATCAAAATTATCTTTGTTTCATGCTCTGTCAAACAAGAAACTAAACTCAGAAGCCATTGTATGAAAGGAAGAAAGCTTGTGCTGCACTATACATCATCTGTAAAATTTGGCAAATGTGCAGAGCTCTACTTTCATTTGTATTCAACAGTTGCTTGCATCCTTGGCATAGTACTGATCAAAGGGTACTCTTGTCAAAGGTGTTAACAGACTTTAAATACATTTCCATGTCCAAAGTTAAACAAAAAATAACCTTTGTGTACACTTTGCCACACTGAAATAACTAAAACATGATACACATACGTTGCTGAGGCAAGACAATACTGCTCTGTTGTGTTGGTTTAAGTGGCAGAGACTTTGTTCTTCCCACAACAGCATGTGACCTCACCTGAAGGAGAAAATCTTAACGGGTTAATTTTGATGTTTTGGTGCTCTTATGTAGGCATGTATGACTAATTCATTATTGTTACAAGTGATATGAGCACAACATCATCAGTGTGGTTTTAAAGTTGGTACTGTAAAAAGAAAAGCTTACAACACATTACACTATCACTCCTTAGTTCCTTTTCACAAACACAATGTTACATCAACTGCTTTGTCAGCCAAGAGAGGTTACTGTTTGAAAATGTGACATAAATGTAAACTACATGAACTGCTTTACAAAAAAACTAAAATTTTCCTCTCAGGGGATCAAATTTCTCATCAAAATATTAATTTAATTCTCCCACAACATACAAAATTGGAATCCATATTTATCATGACAGGTTTGTTCTTAATCTTTTCCCCTTTGATTAAGAAGGCTTACTCTTTATCCAAGAGCACATTTTACAGATCTTTTGTCTGATCTAGTTAAGAAACCCACTTGTTACAGTAGACCATATAATCTCAACCAATCTTCTAAGAAAAAAACAGCTCTCAAATGTGGGCAGTAAGATAGTTGACACCTAGGAGGTGGCTAGTGGTGAATATTTACCAAGCCAGGAAGCAGCAAGGTAAATATCCACTGCTATTTACTGACTTTGAGGCAAATAGTTGTGTTACTGTTTAACAAAACAGTGAGATCACATAGCAAAAAATTCCTGCAACAATTACAATATTTTCAGACACAAATTCTGGGCAAGTTCCTCTGAGGTAAAATAGAAAACTCGGAGTTTGAGTAGCCAATCAGAGCACTCCTTTTTTTGCCCTACACTGTTTGGTATAGGCTTAATATTCTTATCAATGGCAAAGTGCGAGCTACAATTCATGTAAGTTACAAAATATACACAAACATAACAGAGCAATTAGATTCTTTTACCAGTCTTGGTTTAGAGTGCATTTGTGTCTCAGCACTGTTGCTTCGAAGCTGACCAGCAGGGTTCTTAACAGTATTACGAGGTGAGCCCCTGTGACGCTTGTTCATGGCCCCTGAACCTGCAGGAGGCCCATGATTCCCTCCTATGGAATCCCCTGAGTTGTGGCCCATGTTGTACCATCTACAGAGAGAGTAAAATGAAAATGCAACAGTTAAATTGTTTTTTAACTGTTCCTGCTTATGAATTATGCTACATGTATGTGAAAAAGTGCCAGTTGTAATAGAGATTCTTACCCTCTTGCCCTATTCTCATGTGACGGCCTTCTTTGTCTGCCAAGTCTTTGACATTCTTGCTTCCATGACTGAATTCTTTGTTTTTGGGTCTGTGTAAATGCCTGTAAATGTGAAATAATAGGAATTTTTAAATCACATGTTGAGCAACAAAGTAAATTGACTGGAACACAAGAGAACAGAGAACATTTACAAATAAAAAGGCTTCAAATCTGGACACCAACATGGCAGTCACTCTACCATTTTAGTGACCAATAATGGTGACTGTAATTTTGTGTGAAAATTATCTATACACAATATCATAATGTTTCTTCAATTAATGGAAAGTTAAAATTAACTTTAAGGGTTTTGATCAATGAACCACACCCTTTGCTCCAACCTCTTCTTCCACCTTCCTAAAATTAAGTATGGGAAGATGCTAAGTCTTCTCCCACACAAATTTAATGCAATGGATCCTGATGGTTCATACTCACAAGACAGTTTGAAACTTAAGAGTTAGCTGCACTCAATATAAAAGCCTCACCTCGAGCGAAAGAACTCTGTCCAAAAGTTGAAGATAGGTGTTACAATGTTCCTCATCTGCTCTTGATACAAGAATCTGAGTACAAGCTGCAACCAAGAGACAAAGTCATAAATTGGGTGTTTTCAACCTTGACGAATAAAACGTGATAGATTACTGCCTAAATTGCCACATAACAGAAAAAGCCTACTCACCTTTGCCCAACACTCTTGTAATTCTTGATGCTAAGTCTTCTGGGTGGGGAGGTAGAGTCGATGGGGGTTGCTGTCCTGTCAATGTGGGTGGGTATGAACCACAGGGCGAGTTCTCCGAGGGAGGAGGACTAAATGGTTTTATTGGTGTAATTATTATATCTTTAAGTGCAACAAGAACTCCCTGAAGTTTTCCTTGCTGAAGCACTTCCTAAAGAAAACACAATTAATTTTAAAAATTAAATTAAATTTTCATGACAGCAAGAGACATGATTGCAAAAGGAATGGTGTTACATTGATGTCTCCAGATCAAAAATTCAGAAGCTTCTAGTGTGGATCTTGGTAGGTTCAGGGCTAACAAAGTCAAATTTTACCTTTTCCAAACGATTCAGTGTTTCAGGTCTTTCAGACAATTTCTTGATACTCAGTAGAATTTTGTTCCTGGCCCCTTTGGTTACACCCTGAAAAGTGAAAGGAATTATTATGAAATCCTTTCCCAGCAGTACAAATGAAAAGAACCACAAGGCAGTTTTATTCACCATCTACACATCAGTTTGGGCCTTATGACCAATCACTAATCTAGCAGTAAGAGCAATTTTCAATTGAATGTCAAAAATAATCTGGGATTGCTTGTTTTTCTGCTTATCTTTACTCTGTGATTGGTGTATAAAACTTACACCTCTCTCTCTCTCTCAACCAATCAGACCCAAAACTAAAACCAATGATCACTTGGTCACTTGTGTGTTCCTATGGTTTAGGCAGTTTGGTTGGTTTTACTATGAGTTCTCATCAGCTCTTGACCCTTTAACTCCCAAGATCTCATTGGTAATTCTCCTTACTGTCTGCGAAATGATTCTCATTATTTCAGTTTGGAGAATTTGGCATTGGATTAATTGGTAAACCCATAATTTACATTTTTATCTATTCTCATCACTTGTCTGCATGATATTGTATAGATATAGTAAGGAGAAATTCTGTCTTGGTCACTCACTGGAGTTAAAGGGTTAAAGATATTTTTTCTTTTCTTCTGATTAGCTGTTGTGATTACTTTGGTTTTGCTTTTGCAACACTCAATCAAAGTTGGAGACAAAGCATCTTTAACAATTGGTTCATACGTCAGCATGCGTTCATCAAGATATGAAGCATGTGGGAAGTTTGGAGAGCACAAAAGATGTGTAAGAGTTACTCGAGGCGAAGCTGAGAGCAACTCTAGCTTCTTGAGTGCTCTCCAAACTTCCCAAGTGCTTCATATCTCGATGAACACACAGCTGACATATGAACCAATTGTTTTATAACATTTTCAACCTGATGGAAAATCTTTTTCTCGAGGGATTTGTTTGCTGACGTCATGAGCGTGCACAATAGGAATATGAAGCATCCTTGCGCAATTGAATTTGATTAGACAAATTTACTAGTTATGTTATAAATCTATTTTGATGATGACAATGAGTCCTGGTACATTATCAACCCTTCCTTGCTTCTTCCTTCAAGGAGAAAAAATTAACAACAGTCCATGGGTGTTCCGGTCATTAACCTGCAATTAACAGTCTGGACTAACAGACTTGATGTACAAATAACTTGTGTACTGAGGTTGTCATTACTTTGTCAAAACCTAAAGTTTCAAATTCAGCAGATGACCAGGCTCTATGTGAATACATGAATATGCTAAAATCCATTTAAAGCTGAACTTCCACAGCTGAAACTTTTCAAGGGACAAAGAAGGGAGCTAACAACATGAAGAATCAATCCTCTACATGGACAAACAGATTGCACATACCTTAGTTTCCAAGTACTCATCAGTTAAACCAAGCATCTCTTCATAAGAAAGCTGGGCAAACAAACTTCCATACTTGTGCAATCTTAAATTTTTTAACCAAGAACCAACCTCTGAATAAGAAAATCCAAAACGTTACAGGAAAACCTTAAAATCTGTCTATTTTAGGTTCCTTACATTGAATTGTATGTGTGATTTCCATGTTTTAGTCTATCTTGCCTGAATGCTTAACATAATTTGTGTTATCTAGGTAATCACTTGCAAAGCAGGCTTTAACACAAACTAAACCAGAGGCACTGGTACTAATGCAAACAGTGTGGGCACTTATTCAAAAATTTTGACTAAAAGGAGGAGCACTCATTGGTAGAAGGGCAATTAAATTATTTTTTCAACTCTAACCTTTCATGCCTGGCCGAGCATCTTCATTGAAGCTACTTCCTCTCTGTCGGCAACCATTTTCATCGTACTCACTGTCCAAAGATGATTGAGGTGAAAGAGAGTTATTTAGTCGATGAGGATCCACTGGAAATGACTGGGACCTGCCCGGACGATTTTCAATCTCACAACTTTCTGGGAAATCCTCCAAAATGGAGTCCTGTATTTCAATGGGTGGTGGAGGAGTGAGGGAATTGGATCGGCTCTTTCGTAATGATGATGAAATTGAAAGATGTGTTTGAATTGTTGGTGTTTCAAATGAGCCGCCAATTCCAGAGTCCACATGAACAAGCTGTTGGTTACGCCAGCCATTCATGCGACCTCGCATGTAGTTCTGTCTAACAAGGTTCTCACAACCTGTATTGGGTAACACATCTGAATTTTCATTGACAAATGAATTTGTAGTTTGCATCCTCTCTTGTACTCCAAGGCTTTGATCAAGTTTGCTCAGCCAGTGATGAAGATAAGTTCGCTCATGAGCTGGAAAGGCTGGATGCACCACAGCCAGTGACAAGAGCTGACGACACTCTTCTTGATGTACGGAGTGCTCCACAGTGTGGTTTAGGATCTTGGGAAGTAAATGAAGGTACTCATGTCTTGCGTCATCATTTCGTGGATTGAGAAGAGGGAGGTGTATTAGAAGCTGTTTTACTGCAACGTCTTTGCTCTCCCGAATCAGATTGCCTAAAAATTCTGGAGAGATTTCAAAAATACTTTTAGTGAACAGTTAATAATTTTTGGTGGCCACCCAGAGTCACTTTTCCTACCTGTACAGAAGTCTCTCACAAGTAAACACACACACACATAAAGGGGACCCAAACATTTATGAAATAAAAACAGACAGTTATGAAAAGAATCATCACCACTAGGTTAGCCCTCATCAAAGGCAATATTCCTAATGTCTAACTCACTTTATTTATTCCTGTGAATTACTTCACATTTCATTAGAGGCAGGTAGCCAGTGAAATTCCACTGGCGGTCAGATCATTTTCTGTTGGCTACTTTGTAAATTGTGATCAATTCAGCCACCCATTCAGTTCATACCATACATCTAAGACATTTTCTGATGACAACCCTGATCATCATCAACTTACTGCCATTGAAACACACATTTCAACCATAAGACTTTTGTAGCTATTATGCAGTGTAGCCACATGTGTTTTTGTTCATTGCAAGCTTTCATGTGTCATCAATGATAATACAAAAGTTATTTTAAAAAGCTGATTCAGAACAAATAATAAATAAATTAACAAATTTTTAACATTTTTAGCAAGCCAATCCCTCTCACTTTGATGAGGGGCTGATGCTTCAAATGTCAGCTTTAGAAACTTGTTACAGTGGTCAACACAGTTGATAAAACCAAGTTATATTACAGCCCACACAATGTCGCAGTTTTTCCATTTCTTTTTAGTTTTTCAACAAAGTTGGTACTTCAGCCAACCTCTTTATAATTGCTACCATTGGCTACATTGCTGACACGTCGCATATTTTCAAAACTTAAATACTGCTGGTTTAACTTTTATCTAATTTTTGTAAAGGACAGTTGACAGTGAGAGCAGAACTAACCACTGAAAGAGAAAGCACTAGTCCCATGTGCTCATAAGTAAATATTGACACCTTCTGGTTTCGCATAAAAAAGAAACCACCACCAATGAATTGCAGGATAAGCCACATGGCTTTTTGAACAATGACATACTGAAGAGGCTTCTGAGAAAGACAATTTGCAGAGTTATAACTAGACAGCTATTCAATCAACTTTATTCGAAATAATAGGCTAGGGTCAGACAGTGCGTAAATTAAAAACATGAATAGCATCCGCTCTTTGTCCCATTATATTCGCTTTGTCTGCAAAGCCCAGACATCTACATATATTAATAAATTTTAGACACAGATAAAACAACTTTTCTTGACTACAGAATTTTCTAATTCATTGTGGATACTACTATCTATGATAGACATAATAAGTATATTTAAAACCAAGGAAAATCTTTTTTTTTCTCCTTAGGACTAGAACAAAAATAGGATTTTAAAAAAAGTTGCTTTGCGGTTTTGAAAAAAAAAACACATGCAGATTGATTTTAAGCAGTGTTCTCCAACACACAAAATATGTAAGAAAAAAAGGTTACAATTCTACAGAACAGCATCTTGCTGGAATGACACTGTTTCATCAGTCCCCACCATACAAACTAACCATAACAACTGACTTAATTACAAAGAAATTGAGAACTTTACATTTTGATTTCCCATTTCTCCCAAAAATTTGGCTTTTGCATTACTTAACCTACAAGACAATGAATAATCAAAAATACTAAATTTCACTGAAAGCAAATGGTTCCTGATTGTAACAGAATTGTGCTTTAAACTTTGGTTTGTGCTTAAAGTGTAAAAACTATGTGATATACAAAAATACAAAAATTAGTTTCAAAGCCACATATAACAGTCTCATCCATTCACACCTATTTCTAACAATGCAAAACACAATCATTGCACACAGCTGTCGCTTGACAAAATAGGAACATTAAACCCAGTAAACCCAAAAGTTACAAAATTTTCCTATGTGAACATGAGCAGTATCCTTCTGTTCAGGCGGTAACTGGTACTACTTACCACCTACAGTAACTCTTAAAATTGCCTAAAATCACTAGTAATTCTTGTAAAATTCAACAGGTAAAATGATTGCTCTACCTGTTTGAAAATTTATTGTGCCTGTAGTACTAAAAATAGGAGGAAACACTGCATGACAATCTTACTTTAATTGGCATGAATGCCAAACCAAAGTTAAAGTGAAGTAGAATGAATTGCAGTTATTCAACCCATGGTGCAAAGTGTAGAATAAGATGTTATATCCCTCTGGGAACATTCCTTTTCACAGACAATTTTCATATCATAATAGCATTACCATCAAATGATCTTCAAATTGGATGACAAGGACAAAATAAGGTTGAAGAAGCTATTTTTCAAAAAGAAACTAACATAATAGTACATGGTACATTCCATCTTGGCAAACTTACAATGCCTTAAAAAATAGTTACTTTTTCCTTGTGTACTTTTCCAAGTCATGTGGCGAAAAAAAACTACTACCGGAAATCTTACGGAAACAGGTTGTCTTCCAAATCCCTTCCAGATATGGGAGTCGGCAAACTTTGATAAATTTTCCAAGTAGTTAAAACAGATCACCTATTATTTTACATCAATGAGCAGCAACTTGGACTAATCATCTGATATGGCTGTCAAATTGGAACAAGAACACAATGAAAAGTTATCTGTTTTGTGATTGCAAAGCTGTCCTTCTTCACTGATCCACACACACAGTTCAAAGTGGATTGCCTTCTTTTCAACCATGGTAACACAAAGCATTGGGCTAAAAAAAATATTCTTCACATCACCCACAACATTATTTCAAGTAATTAGTTTGCACCAATGATCTCCTCAAATGAAAACCAACTTATTTCTTATCACAAAAAAAAAAAAAAAAAAAAAAAAAAAAAAGGTTCCTACGATAAACAATGACCCTGTCCTTTGGAAAGATAACCCAACCACCATGGAGTTTAAAAGGTTTTTCCTTCCTCGGTCTTACAGAAGCTGGTATACCAGGCTCCACAGAACCCTTTTTAACAGAAATTCAAAGAACCAAATGCAAACTAACAGCAATAGCTAATCAGATGCATAATGCAAAGTGCAAGGTGCAGCCCTGAAAGTCACCCACCACTCCGGTACATGAAATATAATCTTGCTGTTAAAACTTGTTTGTTTTTCAAATGAAATAATTAAATTTCACTCACCAGAAAAAAAATTGCTAAACACTAAGATGCTCCTCTGCCAAAATTTTACAACAACCTCAGATCACTAGACAAACACTATTAAAAATTATTTAATTTTCCTGGACTCTAATTTCGTTTTACATCAATTGGCTCAAAATAATTATGATGTCAAAACTGATCAATGAATTTTTTTGCATAATCTGCACATACTTTTCCCTTTTCATTCAAAAATATATTCTTTTTGTTTTATTCCTTGGTTTAGGTGACTCAAACAAAAGGATGAACATCTCTAATAAAAATGATGGGTTTTTTTTAACCTTCCAATGTTCTGACGCCAAGAAATTTACCAAACAACTACAGAAGGATTGAAAACTTGATACCATGAATTTCCATAAGAGTTGAAAATGCTCGTGCCCCGTAACGAAATGCATAATAACAAACAATGCTGTTTACGATTTGGTTTAATGAAAAAAAAGCAAGAAAGGCACCAAACTTTAAAAAGGAAACGAAAAAAAGAAAGTACATTTCTCTCCTTCACGAAATAAAACGTAAAATATCATTTCGCAAAATGAAACAACGGCAATCAGGAATAACCACAACTGATCCCAAGGTGGATTTCAGAACCGTCCAAAAACGTTGAAGACACAGAGTGAGAAAAATGAAACCCACCAATTTCACAAACGCGTGTCAATTTCAAAGGGTGAATTTTTGACACCTTTTACAAAGACAGGGAAATTTAGCCATACAGTGAAAATTTTGCACGGTCGAACAAGCTCGTTGATGCAAAATTCCCACCGTGATAAAACAAGAACGGTTGTGGAGTTACCCGCCCACGTGCAGACAGACAGAAATATCTTTGCCTACCTTTGTCGTTTGCTCGCCTTTGCATCATCTGAACTTCAAAGGAATCCTCCCTAAATGTGTGTTCCAGAATTAACGATAGAAACTTGGCTTGAATGGTGGATATGCGCTTCAAAAGCGTATACAACGCTATAGTCTGTTCACACTCGTTCCACCTCCCAAACCAGTCCACAAGTGTACTCACTTGGTCGCGAAAAAGAGTGTGATGTGCAGGTTTCATGTCGCTCGTCAAGGACAAACCCTGAAATCGATGGAAAATTCGATTACTCTTTGTCAATACGCAAAGCCCAGCAAGCACGTGTGAACATTCGAAGGTTTCCCAACACCTACATGAAAGCAAACTAGGGGAGAGGTAAACAACTTCCCCGAGATTTCTTTCAAAGCATGTACAACCTCCTAAACACGTGCGCCGTTGTTTGGCTCCAAGGCTTATATTCATCAATTATACATCGTTTCTTGTGTAAGCACTTTTGAATGGATTGCGCGCTTCGCACAATCCCCGTCGAATTTGCATACGTCTCCGAAGCAAAAGAATCTTCTCAATACAACCAGACACCAGTCAGCCAAAAACAAAACAATTCTTTCTTGTTTTTCTGTACGTCTCTAAGCTGGGAATAACAAATTTAATATTTCTCTAGACACTAATTAGAACGCCAATTCAAAATTAGCGAACGAAAAACCTTCCAAAACATTCATAATCCTTTTCAAAATGGAGTTCTGCAGAGGCTCGCGCGCAAGTAGCTTTCAGCCAGAATGACGGCACAAGTCTACGATATTCGCCAGCAGACTTGCTTACAACGCATGTTTTAGATACATCTTCCTCATTCTCAACTCTACAATATTTATTTCTATTGCTAAAATCGGCGTTTTAAAGTCAAAAGAACACAACAGTCCTCGAGTGATTGCACCCTGTATGCATTCGAAAGTCCTCCTCTTCATTTCATAAACAAAACCTAAAACATTCAACACATTCGCCAACCACAACACGCCAAAGGCCTTGACTTTATCGAAGGTAAAATACTTCTACAGTTGCAAAAATATGTTCTAACAAATGTCCAAGGAGGCTTCGCCATTACTTCGTGCGCACCGAAAAAAAAAAGATATTATTCGCACACCAAAAGCGCTGACAAAACTTCAACTGGAAAAGGTCATGCTCACCTTTCCGACTCAACTTCCTTTCTTCGACGTGTCTAAAGATTTATGCGAATTCGTCGCCATAAACGAGCTCAGCAGTTCCCTGAACACCACCAGCCACTTCCACAACAGATATAACACCTCGTCATGACATATTTTCCCGCATCAGGTGCACCAAATTAAAGCAAAAGCCTGACAATTTTCACCTTCACACACATGCTACAGCTCGCAAGTACTCGAAGCTCGCTTCGCTTTTCATTTTGAGCCGCATAAGCCAATCACAACAAAACAATGATGTCATGTCAGAGAAAATTGTCACGTGACGCACAGCGCACGTTCCACGAGGCCCCTTCGAAAGCAGATTTGACCAGACAATAGTGAAATTCTTCGCTTGTTTGCCGACACTAGTATTGCGAGGGAAGGAAAGTGACTACATATTGAACAATATAAGCTCTAAAATAATTGACCCTCCGCAGTGTAACAAGAATCGCGGCTTGCTGAAATCCATTCATTGGGAACTTGAATAAACAATGCCGTGCCGTAAAAATTCGAGCAAATTCTCTTTTCCGGTGTAGGTTGGGGAAGTTACGAAATGAGGAATCATTCTATTTTCTATTTGGTGAGAAAGAACAATGACTCTAACTAAAAAAGGATATTATTCATCTCAGCGTCAGTCGCCCACACTAAGTAAACTGTGAAATACAGGTTCAAGCCAAGTGTTGGCGAACATGTGAAGACTTGCAAACACAAAATGTATTATGATCGATAAGGTAAATCATTGATGTATTATTTAGAAGAAAAAAAAATATATTGAAAGTACAAAATGTCGATTTTCCGAAAATAGACATGAGATCAAGCACCCCAATAGAAAAAAAATAAAACGAATTAATTAACATTGAACTTCCTTTACCGATGTGTTTAGATTCGCTTCAGTTCTGTTAATCTATGAAGTTTTTCCTTCACCTGTCAATCAAGGAATAAAGCCACATAAAGCTACTACTTTTAGATGGCACAAAACCTGTACGAACTCAGACTATGATCAGAATTGACCACTGGCAACTGAAAACCGTTCTAGTACTTCCAAACAGAAATATTTAACCTCTCGATCCCCGCGTACGTGATTAGACTTCTTGTTATCTCAAATCATTCGCCCACTTGTTTTCTTCACGAAGCTCAAGGAGTGTTTGTGTATCTCAGGCAATGAAGTTTATAATTCACTTTACTGATAGCTGTTCGTCCACCCACGCAAAGCTTATAAAACTTCCTCGTTACAACAAGCGCCGATTCTCCCTCACAGAGACCTCTTCCTTCAATTCCTAGAATAGACAATGTGGGCTAATTTCCTTTGATAATAGAGACAGTTACAAGGGGATCTTACAAACCCAGGTTTGCGACCGAAGCGAAAGTGTTAAAGTTTACTTCTTTTTTTACCCTCCTCTTAGTCCTAACATTGATCATCAATGAGAGACGGAAATACCTACCATCTATAACAAATGAAAATAATTAAACAGTTTTGTACAGACCTCCTTAAACGATAGAGTTCCATTATTTGGCGTTTTTGGGAGACGGAGCAAGGTCGCTCTAACGTGTTCTTCAAAACTATATATTTGGATCCGCTATGAAAATACTGAAAGACTTGTTTTTCTGATGTTTTCCATAGCTCAATAAGCTTTAGATCCTTGAGGTCTGGAATGAAACAGCTGATCATCAGTTCTCAGATTTTTTTTTCACAATTGGATTTCTACTAACTCGCTGAATGTTCTTCACGTTTAAAAATTTCAACTTAGTCCCTCGTTTCCAAAAGAAAAAGGTGAGTATTTTTATTTTGCATCATTCAGAAACGTATGTTGCCGTACAGTTTTTGAGTGAAAACAAATAATCTCGTCGAGTTGATGTGAAAATCAATGTTTGGTTGTGAGTGGGAATGATTTTCGCTTTGAAGCCTGGGAAAATCCACGTAGACAGGGACCCCTATCCCGATAGCCCTCGCTCATCCGAAGGAAAATCGATTGACTCGAATCAATTGGATTCGGGAACATCGGCGTGTTGAATCTGTTTAGCATGAAAATCAAGTTTGCTGAACGATTCATTTGGGATTAAAGGGTAATCGGTGATGACAGTAATTATTTTCGGTGTCCGTTTGTGATGCTATTTAGCACCCCTAATTAGCAAATAACTGTGGATTTGTCAGTGACAATCCGATCGAGAACAATAAACGGTAAAGCAATTATTTTTAAAAGTTAACCCCGATCTCTTAATCGGTAAGCTACCACAGGCGCTCTGACTAAAAGTTTCTTTCGAATCATCATCGGGAAAAAATTTATTTAGAGAGCTGTTGCTAAAAGGGTCCTGGGGCAGTTTAGAACGTTCTTGATTGCATACAAACATCTGAACAGCTGTAGTCTCGATGACTGGAGGTATTTCAAGAAATCTCACACGTTAAGAAAAAAATGGAAAGCAACAAACCCCTAGTTCTAAGCAAAGCGATTTTATATTTCGGTTCGCCAAACTTCCAGTGATTATTTTAAAATGTCAAATGTGACCTTCGGAATATGGGCCATAAGTAATATTGCCTCAGCGAAACTACCGGTAGTTCATTAGTTGAAGTGTAGTGATGCTACACTGAAGTAAATCAGATCATCAAGCAATGCAGTTTAGTGGAAATAAAGTTATGTTTTCCGCGGTAAGTCATGTTATTTTTGTTGTTGTTGTTGTTGTTGCTTTCTTTAAAAGCGAATCTAAATAAAGAGTAAGCAAAATAACAAAACACCATACTCGTTTGAGCAGGCATGAATTCGAACCTTACATTATTCAATATAATCTTTCCGCTATTTTTAGCTCGCTCAAATGGCATGAAATTAAAATAGTTTCGCTAAATCAGTTCTAACCTTTTCCGAGTATATCATCCCAAATAACCACAGATACCCCTGAACAAAAGAAAATTCACCCTTTCACTCGCCTGCCTCCTCGAACACCTGGTTGTCACAAAATTGAAACTTGATACACGTTTTCTATAACCTCTTTTGTGCGTACCGAATCTATAATCTGCCTTATATTCAGGGAACAAACTAAAGTTTAACTTTATGATGGGTAATCGGTGTTAGTTACATTCTACCTAGGCTAAATAAACTCACTTTAGAGTATCTTTGAGTCCAGATAGCCGCGCAGAAGCCCCTCTGATCCATATGCTCGAGATATCTTCGAAATGCAAATCGAGGAATAAAACTCGGAAATCAGCTTCACGTTTTTTCAACTAAGCTTGTTATGTTTATGTCTGCAAACTTTCTTGGCTAGATTGCATGGCAGGCTGAACTGACTCTCTCAATTCACACAGGCAATAAACTGGCAAAGAATTCGCTGAATACTGGAAACTTCCGCGAGGTAACAGGAAATACTCGGTGGCATTATATAACCAAAACAAATGGTGGTTTGGCTTATTCCGCATTAACAACGTATCAATATAAGCGGTATTGAATTTTAGGATTGACTCGCCAATAAACGCCGACAAGAGATCGACGGAAGCGCCGTCTGTACATGTCTGGCTCGTACTGCTGTATTCAGGAAATGCATCATAACTCTAAATATAGAACAATAAGGCGCCTTAGCTGAAAAAATTGCGTCAAAACAACATAAACAAAAATAAATATAGGCTCGCAATGCGTAAAAAAAGAGACAACTGCGCTGCAGAGGGAGCAACAATAAGCGGGTGTAGAAATGTTGGATCAATATCAGTATCTGGGCAACTGCCCACCTACCCCTCCCCCAACTCAACAATAGTCAATTGATGACAAGTTACAGTTAATGTTGGGTTAGGGGAGGGGTGGGTGGGCAGTTGCCCAGATACTGATATTGATCCAAGTAAACAACAGCAAACTTCCTAAGGCGCGAAAAACGCGAGTGAACTGATCGTGATTGCTTATAGTTTTGAAACTGATTGGTTGAGAAAGTCACTGGCACGAGTTTTTTGGACCAATCACAGAGTGAAGTAAAGCAAAACCAAAGATATGCCGCACTACTTTCGATTCAATTGAAAATTGTTGCATACAAAATGGAGTATGAAACAACTATAGATAAAACTATTGTTCAAAGCTGATCCACATACACATGAAGAACAGGCGAGGCTATAGTGGCGTGTTCCTCACAAGGCGCTTACCTCCTCTTGTCTGAAAAAAAAAACGCCAAAACAATTTTTTCTCTTCTGAGGGCTACCGCAAAACAAAACAGAACAACCTAATATCGTCAATTTACAAGATAAAACTCTCCCAAAATTTTCATTTTACATGATAAATGATGATCTCAGTTAACCATGTGGAAAAAAATGGGATGTTACTGAAGGCCTTAAGCTGTTTAGATGTTTGTCAACTACAAATAGTTCAATTTGAAAATAGATGCACCGCCATCTTTACACGTGAAATGGTCACTGCTGTTAGGTAACACTGAGTACAAAATAAAAACTTCAGAAATAGCTTTAGGGCTATATTTTTGCATAAGTACACCGAACCATGCTTCAAACCTAACATGCGGGGTAGTACTGAAGAGAATATTCTCTCGGTGGTACTTCAGTGTGAAAATGGGTCTACATCTCGGCCGTATTCCGGCAAGGAATTGCCTCATTTTGCACGCAGGTTCCTGAGAACAAGAACTGACTTAATCATCAAAATGTTATATAACAAGTTGTATCTGGAAATGACCATTTCCTCTCGATTTGCTTTTTCTAAATCTTGAAAACCTTCTTCGAAATTCTTCTTTCTTATTTCCATATCGTTTCATCGTAAATATCTTACGAGAAATTAGTTTTATATCAAAAAACAACCTTCACCTGACACGTTACTCTATTTTTATAACCTGTCTAGTGAACGATGTGTTTCAATTGTGAGGAGAAGTTTCATGTTGGTCACTTATAGTGTTACCAGGTTTAGTCGTGCATACAGCATTTGCAGCCATTCGCGACATTCCCGAAGCAAATATAAGCTTAATTGAAATTTCGATCAAAGTTTTTGAACCTGTCATCCTGGTTATTCAGTTCCTATAAACGTAAATCTCCGACGATGGCCCTTCAAACCCTTGGCGAAAAGCCATGATTTCTAACTAAATTTCACAAGTATTGGATTCTGATAAATTTGGCGCCGTTAAGTCTTCAGATTTTATAAATTGGTTCGTCTAAGTTGGGTTTAAAGTATATTGCAACTTAAGATTAATCGTCGTGAGAATGTGTGTATATCTGATCAATTAACTGGTTATCTTAGATCGAACATTGGTAGATGAGTTAGAACATTGAGTTAAACGAGAAGGATGGCCACTGTGACTGATATCTTAGTTCGTCATGAATCACTTCCAGCATATTACATCACGTATTGTAATAAATTTATCCTCTGAAGCGTCAAACTCGCCTAACCATGTGTCAAACTGAAATAGTAAACTCGCACAACAAAGGCTAAAGTTGAAACAAAAAGGAACGAGGTGATGTAATTAAAAAAAATACCAAACTGAAATTTTCGTATTCTTTGCTTTAGCCGGGCAGAAATTGTTAAGTTCGAATCAACATTGTAAACGTTATTTTGTTGTAAATTTGGATTTAAATGACATTAGCATGTACAAGACACTATATATGAACCAACCTATGGAAAATTACATTTAGTTCACGTACACATCGAAAGTACAGTACGATGAAGGTAAACTTCCGTTTTGAGTGTACGGATAACTTATTGCGAAGACTCATAGAGCAGTCGTGTAATGGGTGCAAAACTCACCTTTGATGAAAATCCTCTTCTATAACAAAGACGAGCACTCTTTTGAAGTTCCGTTTCTATATACGGCGCAGACAGTGGTGAATCAACATATGTCAGACAAGACATGATCAGTTGAAAGGCGGTTGGAAAGATGCTGATGAGTTTTCTCGTAAATCAAGCCTTCGACTGATCGAATGTCAAGCTTCAGGTCCATGCAATCATTCTCACTTGTAACAAAGCAGAGGGCTGTTCAAGTTCTCTTTCAGCTCCTTAAATGTCGTCACTACCAAAATTTCCAAACGTATTTAAACATACGCCTCCGCGCGCGATTAAATTTTCCCTAAAATGAAACCAAAAGCGAATCCATTAGAAAATTGCTTAGTTTGCATCAGCGCGTGGTATGTGACAAATTTCCCTTTTGCTTCAGGGCTAGTTACAATAAACCAACTTGAAATGTTTTACTAGGTGTGAAATGGGTGGTAACCACTCAAATATATTGGGCCGCAGGAAAAATAGTCTGCTAACCCAAAAAGTTATTTTTGTTCTGTGAAGCAATAACATAAAATAAGTAATAGTAACTATTTCGAGGGCTGCACGCAACATAAAATGAAAGTGTTAATATGGGTACGGTGACAAAGGCGTCAAGGAACTTGACTTTAAAAGGAAAATTTTTGTCAGGCGCAATGCCGTAAATTACCAAGTAAATGGTGGTTCCGTCATTTTCTTTTCTAAGAATATAACTTACGGCTTCCTGTAGACATTTATAGTTCGCCACAAAGGAAATGTGTTGACCTTTTGGCTCCCACATTCAAATCTGATGGGAAATTGGCATCGTTTGTAGAAAGGCAAAACATCGTTATAGCATTTTCATTAGTTTTGATTCGGATCGTTTTAACGCAGCGAATGGCTAATGCTATAAATCCTGTTCAACTTGTCATCAAACGGGTTTGGTAAACGGCACTTTATTTGATATAGAACGTTCTTGAATTTTCTGATTTTTCGTTCTAAGAAACCACTTCCTGACTAAATTTTCTTTACCACTAACTTCCATGTAAATTCAGTTCCACATGGTCGAAATATGATACAAAAAGAATTTAGGCAAGATATAGTCATAATATTATTCTTGTATAGTGTAAAATAATGCTAATTGGTTCGCAACAGAGACCATTTTAACTTGACCAAAGTGACAGAATCGTTCTCTTTCATGGAACATCTGTTACTTCATCTAGCGACCGCAGAGATAGCGTTACTCATCGATGACGTCATACCTGAAGGTTTTGTGTTAGTCCGATATTTTGGAAACATTACTTAAAGAAATCCAAACAGGAATGAAAAGATCACGAACGTGCGATATATGCGGTATAAGAGACTACCAAAGTGAAGCAAAATGTTTCTTTGCCTTACAAAGATTGTTTAAGGCGCGTTGAATCTAATATCTTGATTACAAATGCAACACTTATTTACTGATGTTTATCTGCTTTGAAAAACATATTGCCGTGCAGAATGTCGTACCTACACCAGAGAACCAAAGAAATAATTTTCTTGTTATCTCATTCGTACTCTGCTTTGAATTATCACACTAATCCGTAGTTTAAACTTACCATTAAAAGGCGAAAATCTCTCCAAATAGAGGGCGAATGAGCAGAAAAATTATCGGCAAAAAATCAGTCATCACGCTGCGAATTTTTCGTGCAATTTCATCAACCCTTCTGAAAACTTCTTTGAAAAGAACGTGGGAATTGATTGTTTTGGAAAGTTCCTTTTACGTCATAGTGACGCTGTTGTTTATGTAATCATTTGAACGGATCAACGAACCCTTGTCTCGCTTCAACTGTCATCCAAATATTTATGTTCAAGGCTTTTCCCTAATAGAATTGTTAATCAAAATTGAGGACAAATTTAGAATAAGGTATTGTTTTAAGGACTAGCGAACTTCTTTTTTTCTCTCCAATTGTGAAAAAAGTGACAAAGCAACTCGCCCACTTAAACTCGTCACTCAACAATACTTGGCGCTGTTCTGATAACTTTGTACTGAATGCCTCGTGAGCTCTACCAAACTTGTTACATATTTGAGCACCATTTCGAAAAGTATAATAGGAGCAAAAAGAGAACTGCATTAAAGTATGTTTTTCAGGTGTCTTTTTTTTATCAAAACTTTTTGAAAATTAATCTTAAAAAAATATTATTTGATTTTGAAATTAATCCAACTAAAAACTCATGATTTTAACCCCGAAAGCAATTTCCATCAATTTTTCAGATGACACTTTCATCGGAAGATAAACTGTGGTCGGAAACCCTTCAAAACGGAGACAAAATTAAAAAAAGGTTTTCTTTTCTAAGCTATTCGTGTCGCAATTTATAAATTCTGCATTAACTTAAAGATGGTGGACACGCAAACTTTTCTCACAGTACAATTAGGCATCAATTTGAATGAGCACTCGCGAAAAAAAAGACATTTTCAACGAATATCTTGCCTAGCAGGTGATTTACTGAAAGCGACCTTTGTGTAGCAATTCTAATTTTGGTTACTTTAAAAGATCTTAAAAAACACATACATATCATTATCGGACCTGGACATGTAAACTGCCGATTTCCCACTTGTAATTGTTCCTGGTGCATTTATCAGTTCTGATATCAACACGTGTTTCCCCTTGTCCGTTTGACTGTAGGTCCGATGAAAAAATGAGGAAACTCAGCCGATGTTTTCCTTGTCTTCTGCCCTGTGTCTGTTTTGTTTCGTGTTTTTGTTTTGTTTCCTTTTTTTCTCAGAGCTCTTGGCAACTCTCGTAAAGAAACGGAAAATATTGGAGACAATTCCGGACCATTTACCACGGCCCACCATCCCAGCTCATTTGTCGAAAAGCGTAGATATAGATCTATATAATTTGATCGGTAAGTAAAAAAAAAAAGTTTTCATAGATCCATATTAATGCTAAGGGTTAAATGTGAATTCCTCCTACTCTATTTATAGCTCATGATCAAAATTTCAAGAGCACTCCGTCAACACCTCCTCACACTAGTTTTAGAGCCTGTTTCCTTGTGTTCATCTACGCTTGAGCGACACAGAGCTGTTTCAGCGATTGAGAAAGCTAGGAAATCGTACCTTTTTTAAAACAAACGAAAATGCTGACTGCAAGTTGTCGAAAATTTTTCTCATTCAGCCAGGCTTAAAACACATGGCCTAAAAGTTGATGGCGTTCCTATGGAGATACGCCAGAAACGGCGATAGTGTCATTATGGTATGTGGGCGGTTTAAAAACGCAAAAAGCCATCATTAACCATGCGTAAATGTGAAAGGTGTATATCTAACGTCAGAAACAGTTTTAATTTTTCTTAGTCGTTTCACTACGATGGATACATTCAAGCTGGCCAGAATAATTATCGTCGGGAACTCTCAGGTATTAGTCTTCACAGAGACACGCTTTTTAAACAGGGTTAGAGACTTACTTTCAGCGATGTAAGATCATGTGGTGGCGAATAAACAAATATGCGTTAATGACCAAGCGTTAGGT